CCGGGGCTCAATGAGGTAGCTACTGACGATCTTGCGTCCTTGATGCGAGTTCAGGTGTCCGATGATGCGGCGGTGCTCGGCGGTTATGGCGTTCTGGATGCTGGGGGTCCAGTGCACGGCTGAGACTCGGCTATCCTGACCTCTTGAGTATGTGTCCGTGTGCTGCGGGCCTGGCGTCTTGGAGAGAATCTGCTATCCTGACCTCTTGAGTATGTGTCCGTGTGCTGCGGGCCTGGCGTCTTGGAGAGAATCTCCCCGTCTCCTTGAGATTCGGGGGTTTTATAAGATTTTCCCCGAATCTCTCCCTTTTGATTGGTCCCCTTCCTCCTCTCCCTTACCCGGATTGGTCACTCTTTTGTTTCCAAGCGAAACTTGAGACCGATTCGGGTCGGGAAAAGGTCGGAGAGGTGATGACGGTCCTTTAACGTTTGCGCTCGTATTTTACTCCGTTATGTCCCTTTTCTCTGTCATCTTGGAACCCAAACGGTTCACCAGATGTTCTTGTGGCCATTTATCCCCTACCGCGTTCTTACTTCACAGATATCCCTTTTGTTCTTAGACCCCCCTTTCTCCCGCTTGCTTCGACCCGATATTTGTTCGCGCGCGTCTCGACAAAGCTCTCCCTCTCTCTGTCGACATTCCCCCCTGTTATTTATCGTCGCGTCGCGTTTGTTTTACAATTCGAGAAAGTTTTCGTCTCATCTGGGCTTTGTCACTAACACATCCCTTTGACCCGATTCTGTCTTAGAAACTTTCTGACGTTAAAGTTTGTAATTAGTCGAAATTTCTACGCGCTTTTACGACCCTCACAAATAAAATCTCTTTGAGCTTTCCAAATTGAAAACTGTGGTGTGATAAGTCCTTAAAATTTATAGCAAATTACCTAGAGCTGTTCAGAAAATTTATTGTTTAACTGTTTTCCATTACTTTTCAGTGGGTTTTGTTAGTCTCTGAGAAAATAAACTGATAGTATTTAGTCCTGACATAATGTTGCTATTGCTAAATATATCAGAGTTTCAACAGCAAATCTGAATGGAATAGAACATCAATTTGTAATTGGTTTCCTTCATTGCTAATCTACTTTGTTACAGGAATAGTTACAACTGTAGCTCCTTTCATATTAAATCTCTAATATTTTTCTTGCATAGTTCTTGATTTATAAAGATTCTTAATTTAGTTTGGATATGATGATCAATACAAAACCTTTCTCACTTATTTCTAGCCGTTTATACACGAGTACATTTATACACAAGTTTATACTTAAAATAGTTCTAGCTACAAATGCATAGAAGTGTTAGGTTGAATAATTTTGATACCAAGAAAGTCACAACCAGGCCCTAAGTGCTTAGGTGATTTCAAAGTCAGATCTAAATAACTTAAGAATGGCTTTTGACCTCTTCCTAAAAGTTATTTAGATCTGACTTTCAAAAGTTCTTGATCAAGATTTGCTACCAGTCCATCTACCCAAATTACTAGGACTGGTACTAGTGTTTAATTATAAAATAAGCAAAGATTTGCAGAACTTTATTTCATATTTTATTTTTGTAGGAAATCAAAAAAGCATTGATTCCAACATCTGCTTGAGTTCATATAGACCAGTGTTTCTCAACCTCTAACGAATCGTCGCCCCCCCTTCAACGTAGTATCGCCCCCTTCAATGAAACCGTTATGTAGTATCGCCCCATTCACTTCAAAATTCCGATGCCGAGGGCCAAGGCTAACGCCAAATTCATACTGAATTGAACAGACTAGTGACTAGTATAATGTTATTTGTTTACTTATTGAACGCTATAATGAATAAAATATCTAATTATTCTTATTATAATGTTTTACTATATCGCCCAGAAAATTGTTTTTCGCCCCCAAAATATAAATTGTTACAAATCGCCCCCTCAACATGGAAAAACGCCCACATGGGGGCGATATCGCCCCCNTACGATATAACGAATAAAATATCTAATTATTCTTAATATAATGTTTTACTATATCGCCCAGAAAATTGTTTTTCGCCCCCAAAATATAAATTGTTACAAATCGCCCCCTCAACATGGAAAAACGCCCACATGGGGGCGATATCGCCCCCGTTGAGAAACACTGATATAGACATTTCTTGAGTTTACATTTAAACTCAAGAAACTTCTTCAGATTCTAGTGATTAATCCATATAAATTTCTTTATTCAAGTAACCATATAAAGATGTTGATCTAATGTCAAACTGAGCTAAAAATCTCTGTTAGCTGCAATGGATAGAACTGCTCACATGATGTTGAAACATAATAGGAAGAAATTTCTCATGAAAATGTTTCTTAAAATAGTCTTAAAGAAATTGTTTCTTATTGAACATAATTCATAGTCATAATACCAATTTCTTTATAAAGCATTTTTTATTTTTCTCATTTCTGTAACATCAGATCTATATGTTAATAACAATTCTTGGACTATACAGCTTTTCACATACTGAACTTTGTTATGAGCAAATGAGATTTATTTTATTGAAAAAATTTATAAAATGTGTGTGTGTGTGTAGGTGTGTTAAGCTTAAAGAACGAAAATGCTTATTGAGCAAAAAAACATCCACAATGCGAAATTCACATCATGGCTTTCGTGATATTTGACCACTGTGTGTTGTGGTGATTAAGAAAAGCCATAATGCATTTTGAACACTAACTGATGCAACCATGATACGACGGACAGGTTATGAGCTCCCAGAAATGTTTTAACTATTATGAGCATTAATCAATCAGTTCTCTATCAGTTAGGAAACAAGGAAAGACTTCTTGATTGATTTTATGCTCATAATGAATTTACAATTTCTGAGCGTAACTTTATTAACATTCAGGACATATCCTCAATTTCATTAACACTTTGCTCAGCATCCACATTAACATCTGGAAGAAAGCAAGGGTTTATGATGTGTCACTGTAAAAGATACCATATTGATAAAAATGTAAATGGCACTCAAAGAACATAAAACGGAACTTGAAATGTCACAGTAATAGTTGTAAAAATAAATAACTCTGCAACATTCTTGATTCTCACAAAAAAGACTGATTTATTAATAAAAGTTCCTGACAAAGTAATTATTTTTAGTAAATTAGTTGTTTAAAAATGTTGGCATCTCAAGCACTGCAACATTTTCATGAATGATTAAATGTTGTTGAAAAGTAACCAAGTTACATTTCTGTATATGGTGAATGATTTTGTTACCTACTTATATAAGATGATTGAAGATAAATAAATCATAATGAAAAAGAAAGTTTTATTTTCTTATCATCACCTTCTTAACATCCAGAACTTCTGGTGGCTTTTAATCATAATAAATCCATTGCACAGTGGTTTTTAACTTTAGTAGCTGATTTTTGTCATCGTATAGAGTACATCAAGCACGTACTAGTACATGTAGTTTGACCTTTTGTTTTATTTTTTTGCTTAGAAATGCTAAATATGTATTTTTCTCCATACATTTTATTTCTTTGAAATTTAAGTATGAAAATAAAATTTCTAGGAAAACTTGTAGAACTAATGTTCAGCATTAAAAATTGTAAATAAACATGTTTTGAGGCTAGAAACCATATTTTAAAGTTACAAACCACTGTGCATCATATCGCCCTCTATCGTCGTTGCATCAGCTAACATTCAGAACACGTTATGGCTTTTCTTAATCACCACAACACATAGTGGTCAAATACTATGAAAGCCACAAATTTCTCTTTGTGGTCTTTTTAAGTTAGTGTGGGTAGCCTGAGGTAGGACGAAGTCGTACCTCGTTTTGATAGGCAACAGTTGGGTGAGAACTGCCCCCTGGTCAGTGGATGGCTTGGATAATGTTTTCTCTATCCCGTAAAGTCGGGATTCTTTTGTCAGGTCGAGTGGAGGAGGTGAGAGGGGTCGTCGGTAAAGTGTTAGTGATACTCGAAATAAAGACGACTTTTTAATAAACAAACAAACATTTATTTAGACAACATAATCCTAACATACAAAAACTACCTACTTGCGCGTTATTCGAAGGGACCGCGCTGAGAGAGAGTGTACATTAATGGGTATCATACCTCTACGATTTCGGATCGGACGGTCGGACGTTTCCTAACCGGATCGGAGAAGTTGTCTTGAGGAACGGACGGCGGCGATGAGGATCGGCACGGGTTTCCCCGATCATGAACGGTGATGACGGACCGTGTTCACGGACGGCGACGACGGACCTCTTTTTCTCGTCGTCACCCCTCTTTTATCCTTCTCGTCACGTTACTGGGGTTTCACCAATCGGCGATTTTTAGGATAAGTTCCTCATGAATCATTTTTCGGTTTCCCGAGAGATAGGAAACGGCTCCGTGAGAAGGAAATGTGTATATCCTTTTTCGTAAAATTTCGAAAAATGAAGTTTTTCTTTGTTTAACTTTAATAAAGATATTTAATTTAATTTGAGCTTCTTTATTTAATTTTATTTTATTCGGTCCGATCCTCACATTTAGTCTCAATGCATTGTGCTGTTTTTACAAATACCACAACATGTTGTGGATGTTTTTTTGCTCAATGAGCATTTTCATTCTTTGAATCTAACATATAGTTGTATATTCAAATGTTATAATAAAATTATGCAAATATATTATAATAATAATATGTTATAATAAAATTATGCAAATATATATATATATTTGCATAATTTTATTATAATATTTGAACATTTCATTAGTTTATAAATAAATGAACAGCGATATTAAATTTGACTAAGCTTGAATAGATAATCTAATTTTAAAAAATTTACCAATAAAGTTATCATAAAGAAATTCCAATTCTTGTTACATTGATAATATAATTTTAATTAAATGAATGAAATTTTGCTTAGATTTAAATTTAATTCTTTATTTTACTTTATTCCATTTTCTTAACAGATTTATCAGCTATTTCAGAATAATTCTTAGATATATATGATATTTTAATATGCATTGTTAATATTAACAAGTTGGTTATTTTTTCAGATCTTTAATGAAACTTTATTTCAGGTTAAAGGTGGAGTTGCTGAAGCTGATGGAAGACTTATGCAAGGTGATCAAATATTAGAAGTCAATAGTATTGATCTAAAAAATTCCAGCCAAGAACATGCAGCTGCTATTCTAAAGGTAAACATTAAGATTGTTTTATAATTGTATTTCCAAAACATATACAGTATAGGGCCATTAAGCCATGGACAAGTAATCCACGAATTTGCTTAAGCCACGCAAAAAGCTTGGATCACAATTTTTTGACACTATGGATCGTACGGACCTGGACATGGCCTCTCAAACACTCGATACAGGTGTTGACGGCTGTCATTTTGGCATTTCAAATGTCTGTGATTGATGTGCTATGCACTATCATGGATTAAATATTTAAATGCTGGCTTATCACTTCAAAGAGGTATTTATAGATTAGTCTTTTATTTATCAATAAATAATAAAATAACTTACAATGAAATTCAAATATAGTATTAATCTGTTTTATCCATGCTGAGTGTCAGCATTATGGAGGCCGCCATTGTAACCAATTCACACCTTACAATGCTACAAAGTTAATCCGCGGACCACCTAAGCTATGGTTAAGCAGTTTGGACCCCAATCACTGCGGCTTAATGGCTCTACACTGTATTAAAAATACCATAAGATAATAGCTATTAAAATTATATTTTTCTGCATATTTGAATTTAGATATGTTGTGACATTTTTACTTTACAGCGATTATGGCAATTAATATTTTAATACTTTTTCTGCTTATAAATTATTCAAAAATTTATCAGAAATTGAAATGTCTATTTTCTTTGTCAGTATGTGTAGTTTATAATAATAATAATATATAACAAAATTTTGTAATACAGTAGAGCATCGATTATCCGACCCAATTGGGGACTAGAGTTGGTCGGATAACTGAAAAAATGGATAACCGAAAAGTATGAAAAAATACATTATTAGTATAGTATATTAGTACAGGTAACCCCCCGTATAATATGGGACTTATGTACCAAAAAATTGTTGTGTTATGCAAATCCGTGTTATACGAAACAAAGAAAAGGGGGGTTAGGTCCAAAGATTAAAAAACATGCTGTTAAATCCTTATTTAAATCGGATTTATTATTCATTTTTTTCATGAGTAAAATACTTATTTATTATTTAAGTAAATATTTTACCAGAGGATTATTCATCCTGTATGATGATCTCAGCATGAGCATCATCAGCTGGTAACAGTTTTTGGGTGTGTTTGTTAATAGCAGTCGCTCTGCAATGGGAGTGCGCTGCTGTTTGTTGAGATTTTATTAACGCGCACATGCCTCCACACGAATACAGCATAGAACAGCCACTAGAATTGCTCCAGAAAATGAAAAATTTGAAATTAACAGAAAAAAGTTATATGATAGTACAGTAGAACCTCGAAAACTCGTCCCTCGATAACTTAGCACTCCGGATAACTGGTCCACACCTTGGCAGGGCGAAAAAATCCTTAGTTAATTAATTTTCATTATAGACAGCTTTATAAAAGTATAAAAGCTCTCATAAAGTATTTTTCTGTAAATTACTGTACACAGTGTATTCATTAATTTTCATTTTCATGTAGTGGCTCTATGCCTTCATAAAGGACGTACTTTTCCTTTGTTTAAGGGTATTTGGGCAGTTTATTCTCTGTTATATTCTGTACAAGTAAATACTGTACAAGTACAGTACAGTATTTTCTGAGGAAATACTCGTACTTATTTTTTTTAACCCCATTCCCGATAACTCGGCATTTTCACAAACTCGGCCACCCTTCGGTCCACATTAGGTCGAGTTTTCGAGGTTCTACTGTATTAGACTTCAAGGCTTTATACCCCTCAATTAAACTAGAGCCATGCTTTTGCCATCTGAGAGACTTCTTATTGAGCAAAATCGGAAACATGACAAAAATAAGAAAGCAGATACTGGAACTGACACACCAAGCTACTTATTCGTCAGTTTTCATTTTTAACGGTATAACATACACTCAACATAGAGGAGTAGCAATGGGAAGCCCCATATCATGGACACTCTGTGAAATGGTACTAAGGACTTTAGAGAATACTGTATTAAAGAAATGCGTACGTTTTATGCTATTATTTGCAACGATATGTGGATGACGCTCTGATTGTATGGAAAGAAAAAGCAGACATTCATCAATTTCTCAGGGACGTCAATGCTAACAAGTTTGGACTAGACCTCAAGATAGAACAACAGGACGATAAAAAGATACACTTCCTAGATATATTAATAGAAGTAGAAAGAGGAGGGGAAATCACTACTAAAGTATATAGAAAGCCCACTTATAATCCGTTATTAATACCATGGACCTCCCACAATCCAGCAAGTTACAAATTGGCAGCATTCAGGGCACTTGTAAAAAGAGCATACACGCATTGCAGCAATGTGCAAGACAGACGTAATGAATTTGAACATATCAAAAAGTTAGCATGGCAGGTTAGAATCAATCAGAATAAAATAAAGGACTTATTCAATAAAACAAGAAAAGACAATAATGAAAGCAACAAATGGGGAGGAGTAAAAGAGTACACAGTACATGGCACCCTCATTCAACATTTACAAAGTAATAGGAGCAGCTGCTAACAAAAAGATATATTATTGGGTTCCTTTTAAATACTATCAGATGCTACGTATGGACAAAGATCCTATAGACCAGAACCTTATTCCTGGAGTTTATAGAATACCCATGCAAGACGAGAGGTGGCAAAAAGAACTGTGCTACATTGGTGCTACAAGGAGGTCATTAAAAGAAAGAATAAAAGAGTACAAAAGGAACACATAGAAGGAGCAACCCGTCACAGCTTTAGCAACATACGTTATAGCAGACCCAACAGAGGTATCAGTGAAATGGGAAAGAGCATAAATAGTATAAGTTGCAAAACAGGAGACATATTAAATATGCATAAGCCTGGCATATTCATAAGAGCAGTATAGCAGGAAAAGCTATAAACTTCAAAGAATCATATAAAATATCCGCAGCATGGAGAATGGGTGCATTATGAATGTATCACCGTAAAGGAAAAAGCATAACGAAAAATACACAGACAGACATTAGTAGAAGCCTGTTTTATCATATATTGCTTTATTCTTTTTAATTTGTATTTTTATGTGTGAGTGTATGTGTGTATACACTCACACATAAAAATATACACTATAAATCTGGAGTCTATAATTAGTTTTGGACTTGCGTAATAAGCACTGAGAAAGACTTTAAAGTTAAAACATTCTTTAATCAGTTTTGTTTGGCATAAATTCAAAATTTGCTTGTTCGATCCTGTTGAATATCAATTAATGTGATTGAAAATGTTAGATTATGTTAATAAAAAAAGACTGCATGTTAAAGGTTCATAAGTGGTTAATTTTAAGTGTAGTTTGAGAAGAGTAGGTGTTTTTTTTTTCTGTGTTTAAATTAATTTATTCCAATATTGGAAAGTTATTGAATAAATACATGAATTGTGAAATGTTCAAAACACACTGATAAAATGAATAAAATTAAATTAAGACAGTTTTAGTCTTATTTTTAAAAAAATTTTTCTATTGCAAATCTCATATGAAACAAGATTAGATTTATCAGATTAGGATTAATACTTTAAAACTATATTACAAAATAAAACATTTCTAAATTACATTAAGATGTTTGAAATTTGAGTTAATACTTATCAGAACAAATCTCATTTGACAGACAGTGATTGGTAAAGTTAGCTTGAAGATTGGAAGATTAAAAGCTAGTTCTCGACATAATAGCCCAGGAACCCCAGATTCAATTGAATCATTAGGCATGTAAGTCTTTCTCAACTAATTCTAAACCAATGAATTATTTTTATAAAATTTTTAATATATTTTTTCTTATACTTTTGAAAATTTATTCAAATTATTATATATTTTATTTTAAACTGTACTTGTTTTAATATATTTTTTATTACTTTTAGTTATAACCTTCATCAAGCATATTTTCATCTCAATTATAAAATTCTGCAATTATTTTATTCTTTAAATTTATAAATTATTTTTCTTTTTAAGGTTTTTATTTCTATTAATTTGCATAATTTTTTGAATAATAATAAATATATTATGTATTGGTAAATATACATTTCTCTCTCAATTTACATAGTAGATAGTATAGTTTTGTTAAGTATGATTATGCTACATTTAAGCAATTTGAAATTAATATAATAAGTTATGTATAAATTTTTCAATATTTATTTATGATATAATAAAATATCCTTACATAATAGAGAGGTTGTGGCAGACATTTTCAATGCAAAAACGTGTATGTCGGACATTCAGCACTACCATCCAATAAGCCTAGAAATTTGACAATGGTGTTTGAAACATCGAGCATGATTCCACTGACATTCCAAACGCCATTGTCAAACTTCTAGGCTTACAGGATGGTGGCACTGAATGTCTGACATATGCATTTTCACATTGAAAACATCCACCACAACCTCTCTATTTATGTAAATATGTAAGTAGATGTAATTTTATTTATAATCCTCAGATAACAACACAATTTTATTGAATTTAGCATGAACCTTTAAACATGTTGAACATTTTAAGAAAACTGTTGCATAATATTGAGTTATACATTACTTATTACAGCTAGATGGCTGAATGGTTAAGGCAGCAGCTTGCCAGTCTGGGAAACCAAAGATCAAATCTCAGGAATTTTTTGGGGATAGTTCATCTGGATATGTCAGGCCTTGTCCCACCCTATTGTGGGCATGACTGAACATATAATTGGCTTGTTAAAAAGGCTCTCTTAGTGCTTAAAGGGTAGAAAAAGTTAAAAATATACATAAAAATAGCTCATAAATATGTATCTTTAATATTTTAATAACATCATATTTAGATTGAAAAAATTATAGAGAAGAAACTTCTAAATTCAGGTGAAAATTAAGGATAATTAAATATTCCAGAGAAAAGGTGATAAAAATATTTTGTACAGATTGAAAGCAAGGCCAATTTTTATTGAGAAAATGATAAAAATTTCATATGTTAAAATATTGAAAGAATTATAAAATAACTTCATGATTACTGATGGTTAACAAATAAGCATAACCAGTTGTCACCATCATCATCATCATCATCATCATCAGAATAATAATATAAATTAAATATAATTTATATTATTAGATTACACGTATACCTCGAGTTACATCATTCTCGATTATACACCGCTTGTCGTTCAAAAAATATATGGAAAAATAAAAATCAAGTTTAAGTCATTTTATTAGACTTTACATCTGTCTGCCACAAATATTGAAGTTGTTATATCACTAGAAAAGCATTAAAGCACATAAAATCATATTAAAATATGTACATTTACAGTAAATGTTAATATAATCATCATAAATCCTAGAGAATGAAACATGAAAACATCTGTGTTTCTGTGTTGTCATCTTATTTAGTGGTCTTTAAGTGCTCAATATTGGTGTTTTCCACGGTAGCTCCAATATCTACCGTTTGGCGTCGTCGTCAGCACCACTCGATATTGGTAAATTTAATATAAATTAGTTTATTTTCTACTTTTGCAAGATAATTTTAATAACTGTATTTGTTGTTTAACCTTAAAAAATCATCTTATTTTATAATGTCTTAGAGCAAATCACATTCACAAATAAAGAGTCCACGATGTACTGTAAACATGTACATTTACAAGTATGTACTGTACATACAGTACAGTACATGAATTCGTAAATTTAGATTACTTTTTTCTGTACTATATTAAAAACTAAAATTTATTTGTTTGTAAGTTTAAAATAGATCGATATGCAAATTATATTATTAAAAATGCATTAATAAATAAAATACAGAACCGGAATTGGCAATTTATGGTTTAGCCTAGTGACAAGTAGATTTGGAGACAAGTAAATTCGACTTA